TAAGAGTTCTATGGCAACGCCAATAAATAATAGGCTTTTGAAAGGTACATGTATTCAATGAGATTTACAGCAGGACGAAACCACGCCCACTCTCATTCACACAGTGTGAGTGAGACCTGCTCTGAAATCTAATGCAATTCATTTTACACATACCTTAGTTAAAGTTATGTAACTGCTATGGCTTTGTGTATAGCTGTTGTTATTATGACTGATCAGTTTCTCTCTGGCCCTGCAGGCTTTGTGCATGACGAGTTTCCTTTGTCACATTAGAAAGGGCACTCTTGTGTAGGTTCATTCTGTCTTTCTCATTCTCTAGCCTAGTATATGTAACATAATCACACTATGCTGAGGTAGTGAAAAATAAAACACTGAACAAAATATCCCACTGAGCTATGCAGTCTGGCAACTTTGTGTCTAACTCAAATTACACATAGCACATCACAAGAGAACAGATATGAAATGGAAAATCACCAGTGACCTTCACCCCTCATCTCAGACAGATACAGCTGTTCTCACCTGTTCTGCGCAGGGCAAGGTCCTTACGCTGGTCACAGGGTGGAGGCTGAAGCTTCAGGGACATGTCAGGAACCGGTAGTCTAGGTAACCGAAACAGTAACAGATAGGCTGCTTCACTCGTGGGTTGGCTTGGGGAGATGTGCCTTATTTCTTACTTTTAATTTCATACTCTGGTTAAAGTTAGAGAAGGAATAGGCCATTTAATAACAACTGGGGGATTGAGAAAGCCTTTCTCATTTGGTCCATCACTTTGAATATCTGCCAGTGTTTTTGCTGAAAATGTGCTGTTTTTGCCTCTGTCTCAGTCCACGTTGTGCTGTGGAAACATCACTGATGCTGGAGCTCTGTTGGTGTGTCTCTGTCACCTGTATCCTGATGTAGGACTGCTGTGGCTGGGAGTGACCCTGTCGTGGGTGGGCTGGCTCTTCATGATTATATGTTCCCGAAGCTTCTGCTTTACCAGGGGACTGGCTACAGCACCTGCCAATAAATCAATAAAATCACTCTATGAGTAAGAAGACAATGGTTTGGATCGTGCACAGCCAAACAGTAGGTAGTCCTGCAGCCAACAGTGAGACTGATCATCCAAAATAATAATAATTTTGATAGTGAAAGCGGAATATTTTTCTTCACATGGTATGACTACAAATTTCCATGGAATCTGAGAATCATGGCACTGTTGGAAATCATCTTTTATTCATTTTCCTTTCACTTTCAAACATACAGCATGCTGTGATTTAAATAGAAAGCATGTCATCAAACCTATGGTCCTTCATAAAACATCTGAAAACCATACATACATGTGATACTTACTCTGCTCATTTTTACTCTTTCGTATCAGCTGGTGTAGCTCTTCCCTCTTCTCCTCCTCCATCTCTTTTTGCCTTTGATCGATGTTATACTGAAAAGAAATAAATGAAGCAGCATTAACCCTGATCAGTTTAGACTATGCATGACCAATTTATATAAAAGGGGACAAATTATCTTTATACAGCTGAATATTGCTGCTGAATCTGTATATTGCATAAGACTCCATGTCTTGACAAAGGAAAGCTATTCCATCACTTGGTGTGGCATCAGTCAATTAATCTGTGATATCATAAACGTCAATCAGAATCAAACGCTGAGCAGGTGGTCTTTCTTCACTGCCCTGGTTTGCTTCAACCTATTTAAAGGCATGTTGTGAAGGAAGCTGACTTGTTCGTGTGGTTGATGTGGCAGGAGGTCCATCCTGCTTTTCACTCTGTGTCTTGCCAAAATAAAATGCTCATGTGGTGATGTGCTAATGCTGAGAGCTTGAAATCTCATGAGCACACTCAGTCCTATTAAGCCCCTGTATATGTACTGAATGCTGGTGAGACAGAAATATGAAGGTGCTGTTGCTGGTTATGTTCAGTGCTGTCAAGGCTTTCCTATGCCACCCTCTAGCTGCACTGGATGAAGAGAGTTGTCCTCCTGACCTGCAAGTGCTGCTGGGAAAACTGGGCGCAATGCTGAGAGGTGAGTGGCCCCAGAATGAAGTGAGGGCGGGGAGCCAGCATGGCCGAATCTGGGCCTGGATGTAACAACCTCTGAGTCACACTTAGGTCCATGGGCTGCTCCGTATGTTTGGATAATGAAACCTGATTGCTGATGATCACATCCACTACAGGCCAAGGAGAGAGAGAGACAGAGAACAATACTTTGTGAAAAGAGAGTAACATTATGGGTGTCATTGTGGGGATGAGGATGAAAAATCAGTTTGCCTCTCTGGAGTGTCTATTACTTCATTGACTAGTCTACTTTGTGTCTTATATGTCATTGTTCAACATCCTGCTATATCATCGTCACAGATTCAGAGAGTCAAAGTAGTGCAAATGTTTTACATGTCCAGTTCATCACACAAATTACCCAAGGAAGTATGTTTTTAACAGATTTTCACATAAAAGTTCCAAGAACAATTGGAGAGTCATTTACTATTTGTACTTCACATAAACATAATCAAGGCTGCACTTGGTTTATTTGGCACAAGTGTATGTCCAGATGTGCACTTGTACTTGAACTCTGCACATTCACCAGTCATATTTCATTTCATTTAAGTCTTCCTGCCTCAAATGAAGTGGTCATTGTCCAACACTGCTTTCAGGAAAGTACAAGAGTGAGGTGTAAGTATGTGTGTGTTGGGACTGGGGGTCACAGACGAGAATAACAATGAAGGGAGTGGGACGGGGAGTTAGACTGGAACATTATGCGGTCAAGGCATTTGGATCAAGCACATAAATCTGTCATGTGCGTTTCAGGTTTTTACTGAAATGCAAAAAAAAAATAAAGGGTCAAATTTAGCATGAGTGGACAACTGAACTAAGCTTCGTGTCCTAACTAAAGACAGATGTCTTTTTATTGGTGAACCTTTGTGATGCATCTTATCAACAAGAGAAAATCAATGGACGCTCACTGATCACTTTATACTGCTTTGAAGTGTCAATGTGGCTGACACCTGAAGCCATTAAACGTGGTGAGGAATGTTTCAATAAAAAGGAACAGACAGATATGGTATGGAAGGAGACACCCTGCTCCCTCTGGGGTAGAGGGTCAGTGGGAGGGATGCAAGGATGTGGAAATTTACTGAACTCTTATGCCTGAATTACTGCAAACCCAAAATATTACTCAACATTACTCACATAATTCCTGTAAGTGGATGTTACTTTACTGGCATACCTTGCTGAATTACATGAATGGTTGTAAACAGCACTGTATAACAGTAACAGCTCTGCAGTGACGATCACAAAAAGCATACTTGCATTGCAATAAATAATTTGTTTTGGGAGTTAGCAAACAAATGATTACACTGATAGGGTGTAGTAAGAAAAGGACACAATCACAAATGTCAAAATAACAACTACAGGTAAGTCAGGAGGATGGTAATGAGTAGAGTAGGTAGTGTTTCTGCAAATACTTTTTTTTTCAAAGGCTTCAACATCTAACAATAAAATTAACAGCAGCTCCAGGAAAACTAGCATTTGCTCAATTGAAGCCAGCAACATTTTACATATAAGTTATAGAGACTATCAAATCCAATCTTCAGCAGTTTAACAGCCTGAAACAAACCACCCTAAGCAGGCTGCACACCGCTAAGTGCCACTAAACTTCACTCCTGTCTGAGACAGACGGCAAGTCGTACAGACCCAGACAACCTTATTTGGCTCTTATTCCCAACAGCGACACTGACTCAGAGAAGGAAATAATCACGCCTGTGAAGGCGTTGCAGGCTGACAGAATTCCTATGAAGAAGAAAACACTCCCACGCTCTTATTACTACAGGTCAAGTGAGACACAGCAAAACAAGACAGGGAATTGTTAAGACCAGAATCACTTACATTATAAGATAAAGTTACAGCCAAACAATTTCATGATAGCCCATTACACAGTTCATAATACCATACAGAAACACTATTTGTTCATGGGGACAGCTTTGTCTTTGTTTGATTCATGGTTACTTGTACAGTGCATCATAGATACATGGCAAAACACAGGATGACAAACCTATAAAAATCATGCCTGCAATCTACACACTTCTTGTTATGCAAAGTTCTCTTCAGTCACTGGGATCTTACCTTGACAGGTAACTCAAGAAAGCCAAGGTATGTCAGACAAAACCTAATCTCAAAGTCTGTGTCAGAGGGTTTATGTGTCTTTGACTGCACTGTATGTAACTGCTGAAGCTGACAGGGCTTTAAAAAAAAAATCTTTCTACAGTTGAAAAAAAAAAAGGGAAAGGTGCAACAGGAAGTACCAGTTGTAGCAGAACAGAATGTATTACTGTAACGTCTGTGTGTTTTCAAAGAATTAGGATGGCAGTGGTGATGGTGGGGACTAACCTAATCAGCACACACTCTCACACACATATACAGTACAAAACCATGAATACCAAACAATTCAGCTCCCCTGAGAGAAAGGAAATGATCAGGAAGTCAATCTCTCATCTACACAGAACAGAAACACCTGCAATATGTATTTCTACCCTGTAAATATAGTGAAACCCAGCAAACAAGCAAACATATTTGGCTGAGCTTTTGTACTGACACTGAAGCTGTGACTTTAAGCAGACGTACAGTGTGACTCATTGTGTGACTGGACACAAACCCAGCTTGGTCAGCACATTATGCATTCACAGGTCCAACTAAACAGTTAAGGTTTCAACCACCTGGTTCCTGAAGGGTTTCAAATACTGCCGATTGTTTGCTATCAAATTACCAAGAGTTCACTACAAGAGGATATTCACAGTAAACACTTGTTTAAAGAACACAATGCAAAAATGTCACCTGTGGTCTACTATTGCTCTAAAAATGCAAGATACACGTTTTAGAAACAGAAAAGATCATTTTAGAAAAGAGATGCTCTTGAAAAATCTAATCTGGAACATTTTGAAACTAAAGAGGGCATACTGTATCTAGATGAGATCTGTGTGCATGCTTCTCTGTCTCTCATTTGAGCGTTGTGGTGCTAAAAATAGGCAGGAAACAAACTTCTGGTTTCTGTAATAGCATATTCATTTCACAACCATCCTTCTCTTTCTGTGGGCCTTCTGCAGCAACACACTGAAGCACCAACACATGCACACACCACATCCACTGGCTTTGCTGCTGCCTGCGCACAGACACTCACACAGAAACAGTGACTTCCTGTTTCTAAAGTTAGCCTGCACCATAACATCCTCTTGGTTCATTTAGGCAAGCAGAGGCTGCTATTTTGGTTGATGGGCTTCACTAATTCAATTCTACAGCTTAACAGAGTTACATGTGTCCATTAGCAGTATTTATATCCACACTGTGGCGCTAAAATGTGCTTTGTTTATTGTTGGACTGGAGTCAGCTCCACAGTGGCATTGGAGGGAGTGAAGCGTGGAGATCACACACCAGATTAAATGCTAATTACTGTCTGTATGTACAAACGCAGGCAGCAGCCTTAAAGTTTATGCCTGGTTCAATAAACAACACAGCAGAAAGAGCAGGAGTTCAGATAAGAAGAACATGTTAATGTGTAATGAGTGTAAATCTGTTACATTTACAACAACTGACACCAGACTGTGTGTTAACACGTTCTCACACCACAAAAACAATAGTTTGACAGTGACTCCACCATGCCACCACCTATCCCTTAAGTTCAGTCCTGAGGTATCTGTACTTTACTTGAGCATTTTCATTTTCTGCTACTTCATACTTCGACTTCACTACATTTCAGTTGCAAATAATATATTTTTTGTTGCACTACATTTAGTTGATAACTTTAGCTACTAGTTGTTTTTCATAATCAGATTAATAGTATAGGGCAGCATGGCGACACATTTGTTAGCACTATTGCCTCCCTAACCTTAGCGAAGGTTCTGGGTTTGAGCCCCTGCCGACCCAGTGCCTTTCTGTGCTGAGTTTGCATGTCCTCCCTCTGCCTGTGTGGGTTCTCTCCGGGCACTCCAGCTTCCTCCCACAGTCCAAAGACATGCGGTTTAGGTTGATTGGCAACTCTGAATTGCCCGTAGGAGTGAGTGTGAGTGTGGGTGGTTGTTTGTCTACATGTCAGCCCTGTGACAGACTGGTGACCTGTCCAGGGTGTACCCCGCCTCTCTCCTATTGTCAGCTGGAATTGGCTCCAGCCCCCTGCGACTCTCTTCAGTATAAGTGGTATAGATAATGGATGGATGGATGGATGGATTAATAATATAACATACACTATAATTTATTGATCCAATAATTGTATATATATATTTTTGGCAACACTTTTGTACTTCTACTTAAGTAACATACTGAATGCAGAACTTGTAACACAGTGTTTTTACATTGTGATATTGTTACTTTTACTTAAGTAAACAATTGGAGAGCTTCTTCCCCCACTGTCCCTCCGTCCTTTCACGTTTGTCGGAATCCACAGCTGCTGGGAACATTCTGTCCCTCTGCTTCCGAGCAGCTGGAGTATCAATCTCCTTATGTGTGCATCCATATGAGTGTGTGCTTGTGTGTGTCCATCCTCTGCAAGTTATTAATAGACTGCAGTTGTTTCTTTTCAGTGTACACAGCAGGTCTTTGTGTTTGCATAAGTAGTTTGCTTGTGCGACAGTTGACGGCGTATGTACATATGTATCAGTGCTGATATGTATCGGTGCCAGTTTATTAATAGTGCCCATTTGTTTCTTCAGAAGGAACATAAGCTCATTGTGAAAGTTTCGGTATATGTAGCCAAGCTGGCTTATTTTTAGTGTCACCTGTTGGTAAATGCTTCTGTAATTGTGTGTAATCATGCAAGTGCACATATGTGTTTGTGCGCTGCTGTTTCTTGATGTATTAACAGCATCGCACCACTTGTTTTTGAGTGTGTGTGTGTGTGTGTACTTATTGTATTAATAGCATTACCACTTGCCCACACATGCATCTGTATGCGTATAGTGTGTATGTGAGTAGCTGTCAGTGAACAGAGTTTACTGCAACTTGCCACTGTGTGTGAGCTGCTGAAACAGGGCTTATCCCAGCGCTGACATACAGTATATGTTGTTGGCAGACACGTGAACAAAAAATGGAGAGCATAAACATTTTATATGCTGGATTTTCAAGTATGTGACTCTCCCTTATCTTGATTCAAGTTGAAAAATTCTGTTATATTTAAAGTTATGAATAATTCTTACATTTTCAGTGAAGTTTACTTTATAATGTGTACTGTTAATTTTTTTTATTACTAAAGCTGCTGAATCGCTGATATTTACACTTGTAAAAGAACTGATAGGACAAATTTATCGTTAAGATGATAAAATATGGACAAATCAAATGTCTGACATATGTTTACCCTTACAGCTAAACTGTGCAAATACACTGCACAGCTCATTTCATTTTCAGCCTGAGGCTTATGAAGTAACAAATTATAGTACAATTACAGGATAGCAGCACAATCAAATGTGATTCAACGTATCAGATATCAAACACCCTTCACTGGTTAGTCTTTTTTTCAGTCAGTCACCAGTACTGTTTCGTACCGTCCCTGCCACTCTTCAACTAAAAGATCAGGTCAGAGATCAGACAGTTAGACTTTTCTTGAAGTTGTCTCCCTGAGGCAGCTTGGGAAAAAGGTGAGAGGTCACCAGCTCACTGTAGAGTTGTGTGTAGTGTCACAGGCTAACATGCCCCTTCGTGCGATTCTCCAGCTTGATTTCTCACAGCCAAAACAGACTGACAATTGTTGAAATGGTTTCATTATTTCTCCTGTGGGTCCCCAAAGTTCGT